CTGTGTTGTGAAATCCGCATCAGATTGTGTACTTCTGGCGGCGTCCTAGGGACAATGGGCACCAAAGACTCATAGCATCTTGGGGCTGGAGTCGTCCTCTCTTCCACGACATCCTGCTAATTAGTTATTCAGCACCTCAGGCAGGAAACTCATAACTTCCCAGGGCAGCCCATTCCATCACTGAGCAAGCGAAGGTATGAGAAAACCATCTCACAAAGGAAAAGATACATCTGCACTCTGGTGGAACTGACTGACCCTGGCTAGAGGCAGATGCAGTGATTTGGAATTGAGGAATATTCGTTTGGATTCCAGTATCTTCTCACTGGACTTTGGATCATAGCATCATGACCACCCCCTCTGCCAGGAAGCTGCTGTGATTTCATCACCATGGGCACACAGGACAGGAATGTGCTCAGCCGCTGCAGGCATTCCTCTGGCTTCCCAAGCAGTGTGCACACGGCCCTGGAACGTGGCCAGTGTCTCAGGACTGAAGCAGTGCATGCTACAGCACAGACCCACTAGGCTGGACACGTGGGAAGGATGAGCAGCTGTCGGATGAGAGCGAGTCCGCTGCAAGCAAAGTGGGCGTAATGCCATTCCACTCACCCTTTTCCCCTACGTGTTTATCTGCACCTGGCCCCTTTTGGGGGTTCTGCCGAGGAAGGACAGACCTGAATAAGAAATGGCCCCTTTTCTTTTTAAGAAATGGGTGAGCCCTTGAGGAGATGGATGCTTCAAGAGACAGGAGTGTGAGAGAGAAATGTGGCTCAGTTTTTTTTGTTGGTGGTGGTGGTGGTGGTTGTTTTGCTTCATTTTTGTAAGCTAATTTGGCAGAGTTTTTTTTCAAAGTAATATTCTAAATAGTTTTTTTTTCAATACAATAATATCAAAAAGCGTCTTCTAGCAAGATCCTGCATCCTCTGGTCTGCTCTGCAGTCCCAGCCCATTCTCCAGATGCAGCAGCTTCTAACCCTCTATAGCCACCTTTGAGGTTGGTTACTTCCATGTCTCTACATCATAGGCTGTGTTCAGGATGAGGGGTGGCTCTCCACAATCCATGCTCCCTTGTTTTCATTTTCTTTTAAACGGTGCTGGGGATGGAACCCAGGGCCTCATGCTAGGCAAGTACTGTACTATATTGCAAAAATGCTTTCTGTCCTGCTTTTTTTTTCTTGTGGGACTGGAGTTTGAACTCAAGACTTTGTGCTCACAAAGGAGGCTCTCTACCACTTGAGCCACACCTCCAGTGCACTTTGGTCTGGTTATTTTGGAGATGGTGGTCTCAAGAACTATTTGCCCCAGCTGGCCTTGAATCTCCATCCTCCCAATCACAGCCTCCCAAGTAGCCAAGATTACAGGCGTAAGCCACCAGCACCCAACTCTGTACTACTTCTTGATTTGTTCATTTTGGGTATTTTTCTACTGATGAGAATCTGGCTTTCACTTCTTCCACCTCCTTGATTATCACAATTTCTGGTTCAATCAGTGTTCAATGTCCACAATAATATCATTATATAACACTACTTCTTCTCCTCCGCCTCCTCCTCCTTCTCCTCTTTTTCCATTTCTTTGAGACACAGTCTCACTATATAGCCCAAGCTAACCTCACACTCTCCATCTTCCTGCCTCAGCCTCTGGGCCTGTGCCACCAGGGCCAGCTAGCACTTCCCCTAAGTATCGACCTCTGGTTTTCTGGTTATATTCAGGTCAGGCTTTACATGGTCAGACTGTGGGTGGGAGGGCGGTGAGGGGGGTATGTTTCATTGTAGAGAGAGATGGTTTTGTGAGAAGCTCACGTTTAGTATTTGGAGGTCTTCCCTCCAGCACCTTTCTTTCCCCAGGGCAGGACATTTCGTCTCCTGTCTGGGATTGTGGATTTGGCTGATCGAACCCCTGGTACAAAAGGTAGCAATGGTGACCTTGAGAGGAGGTTCCACTGCCTGGTGTGCACTTTGCTGCATCCTGTGGACTGGTGAATCCCCAGTGTCAAAGCTGGCTCTTCAGGCAGCGGCAGAGGACTGGGGATGAGGTACCAAGGAGGAGGGGTGGGAATGGCTACTTGACTTTTAACCTGTTCCTGTGTCCGGTGCCATGACTCTCCCACTTTCTTGTTTGATTTGGTAAGTCCAGGCCCTCTGCATTCAAGATACAGGATGCTTCTTGTAGCCTCCTGTATCTACCCTTCTAGTCAGTCTTGGGCTTTAGGCTTTTCCTTTGGTTTTGTTTCCCATTGGTGGAAAGGTGGGAGGGGGACAAGAGAAACAAGTATGTCCTAATTTTTTTTGTGCAGTGCTGGGAATGGAACCCACGACCTCAGGTAGGTTAGGCCAACATTCTATCACCAAGCTGCACTCCCAGCCAGGCATTATTCATTTATTTGTTTTTGGCGGTACTTGAGATTAAACTCAGGGCTGACTGCTTGCTAGGCAAGACCTCTACCACTTGAGCCACTCCTTCATTGTTCTTTTTATAAATATTTTTCAATTTATATATGATATTTGTATTTACAGACCACAGTATGATAATTGAATACATATATACATTGTATAATGACCAAATCAAAGTAATTGGCATTTCCATCTCCTCAAATATTATTTCTACATCATGAACCTTCAAACTCTTCCCCTCTAGCTATTGTGAACATCTAATAAACTGTCATAGATTATAGTCACAGAACATTAGTATTTATTCCTCCCATGGAACATATTTTAGTAGCCTTAATGCACATTGTCTATTCCTCTCCCCCTGCTCTCCCTAGTGACCACAGCTTTCTGTCATCAACTTTTTAGCTTTCACAAATGAGAACATATGCTATTTGTCCTTCTGTGCCTGACTTATTTCACTTATTATAATATCCTTCAATTCCATTTATGTTGTCACAAATGACAGGATTCATCCTTTTTTGTGCTGAATAATATTCCATCATGTATATATCAAAGATTCCATTTTTAGTCAACAAAATATTCAGTAGCTCTGTATCTGACCCATAGTGCTTGGTAAGAGTCAGCTATTATTCACCACAAAAACAAAAACCATCCTCTCCTTTATCATGTTAAATCAACTCCAGCATTCTGCTGCCCTTCTGCAGTGTGGTAGCTAGATGTACAGGCTAGCTGTTTCTTTATAACAAACCACCACAAAATTTGATGGCTTAAAATAATAAAAATTCCCTCCCTCCCCCACCCCCTACCCCTCACTGTTTGTTTACTGGGTGGCTTTCTTGGTCTACACCATTGTAGACAGACCTGCAAGATCTAGGGAGGCCTGCCTGATATGCACAGAGCTGACTCAGCCAAGACTTGGTCCTGTGTTATCACCCCGCAAGCTGACCCAATCTTGTTCACATGGTGGTAGGATTCTCAGTAGGAAGAGAGGGCAAGCCCTGGTGATCTAGCTCCTCCCACCTTATCTCCCAGAGGGCTTCCCTGATCAACCTATTTAATGTCACTGTTTCCCTTGCTGTCCCTTGCATCATTAACAAGCACTATACTCCTTACTCATGTTATCCTACTACATTGAAGGTATCCTTATAGGTGATCTTGCATCTTGGCAAAGATAAGACATTAGGCACAAAACTCAGAAAGAAAACCTCTAGCTCCAATCTGATGAGCGGGTCCCTGAGGCCACTGGATGACCTGCCTAACTTCTAGGACTTAGGTCTGCTCTGGCTGTGCCAGTTCTGGGGCCTCAGCTCCTCCCCCACTCAAGTCTGAACTCCCAGGTTGGTTGACAGCTCTATTTGACTCCACAGATGGGCTCTGCCCTGCGCCTTCCATTGAACCATTCTGGCTCCTCAGCACAGCTGAGTCTTGAGCTCCAAGTGGGCACAGCCAATCTTGAGCCCAAGTACGACTTTTATTGCTGACTGAACTGAACTCAGAGTTCCCATTCTGACAGTGCCCAAGAGCCAGCCCTGGGAATATGGGGAGAGGGAGGGAGCAAACCCACAGCCACATGGCCTGGGAGCTCTCTATCTGCAAGTAGACAGCAAACCAGTGGGTGGAGCTGATGAGTGAGCAGATCCTACAAGCAGGGACCCACCTGCTTGTAGGGAGTCCAGATGCGATGAACTTTGGTGGGTATTGGGCTATGAAACCCTGACAGCTCAGGCCGCTGCCAGCAACCCCATCCACAGGGTCTTCTGCATCTTCCAGCAGGCAATGCTGTACTCAAAACCCTGTCTCTGGAAGAGCAGAAAATGCAGTGCCCTGCTCCATGCCAGCTCCACTCCACAGCCCAGGTGTGGCACACTCACGGATGCTTTAGGAAAACGCAAAAATGTCTGTAAGTATATTTATCAAATCTTTTCCAGGAGATGACAGAGTAAGGACAGTCAAATATTTAGATATATACCTAAATTATTTGTTAAGTTACTAACATATCCATTCCCATTTGAATAATGGACATTTTACTTTCCTTATGTTCCACATGTAAACATATTTGTGTACTGAATCTCTACCATTTATTATGCAATAGGACACTTTGCCAATATTAAAAGGGCCAAGAGTAAATGCCTTTTTTTAAACATGTCTATAGAGTTGGCAGTTAATGCTGAAATTAATCAAATAGCCCTTTCAGAATTATACTTGTGAAATGTTCCCAAAATTGACTCACCAATTTTTGATTTTAAAAATAATGTGTGCTTGTGATTAGAAAAACACAATCTACTGAAGAGAATAAAGCCAAAAGTCCCCTTCCCCAAAGAGTTCTCAGAGAACCTCCCCAGAGGTGACAGTTGTGAGGCTGGGGATATAGCTCAGAGGTAGCGCACTTGCCTAGTATCGTAAGGCCCTGGGTGTCCTCCCCAGCAACACACACACACACACACACACACACACGCAGACACAGACACACACACAACCAGAGTAACTGTTGCCAGCATGTTTTGTTCATCCTTCTAGAAATTTTCTAAACATAGATTTGTTTACATACATAAATGGGATATTATAATATGTACTTAACCTTCACCATTTAAGTTTTCTCACCTGGCTATGTAAGTAAACCCTTCCAAAGTTCAGACAGTCCCTGTCTTAGAAGTATGTGATAGGACTGACGGAGTGGCTCAGGTGATAGAGTGCCGCCTAGCAAGTGTGAGGCCCCAAGTTCAAACCCCAGTACCATGAAAAAAGAAAAAGGCTTTTCTTCTGGCTACTCACAGCCACACGCACAGGCCTCTGTGCCTTGTACCTGCTGGAACCTATGAAGAAAAGAGTATGAAAATATGATAGCTGCTAGAGTCATTATATGACTTACCTAAACTAGGCCTCTTAACAGAAACATCTCTACTGTATTTAATTGAACTTTAAAACTTACTTCTCTCTTCTCTGTCACAGAGGTAGAGCTTGCCTTAATGACTTCACCCTGTGATTGTAATTTTTTTTTTATGAAAGAAATGCAGAGGTTTTCCTGCAATACCCAAGCTACAATCAGGAAAGGAAGTGGTAGAGAAAAGGCGCTAAAGATATTATGTATGAGAAAAGCATTAAGCTGGTCACTGTATGCACAGGTTATGATGGTGGTTTGTGGTACACGTGACCACTCCAGAAAGGAAACTCAAACAAGAGGAAGATGTTGCTTTGGGCATATGGTATAATGTCAATTGAATCTTAAAGTGGGAACATTTTGTGATATTGCCCCTAGCAAAACATCATACAGCTTGCTAAAAAGAGTCCTTTTAAAAAATTATTTCTTCAGGTAAAAAAAAAAAAAAGGACACCCATACATCCCTAGATTTCCTAAAGTCTGTTCATCCAGCTAGATAAGCCAGAGCAGAGGACAGGAAAGGATGCTATTCCTAGACATATAACTGACTTCTCAGCAGCAATACTGGGTGGAAGCCAGAGTAAGTATGCATATTTCTTCAGGAAAACAGCATTAGAAATTGAATGGAATTTATTGAATAAAATGAAAGCATCCCATAAAGAGGACTACAGGCTCAGATGGCTTCTCCAGCAGGTTCCATAAAGATGGTTTAAAAATCTAACACTACACAGTCTTCCAGAGAACACAAAAATGAAGACATACACTTTTTGTCATCTTACTTGATGAGACCAGCATAACCTGGTTACCAAAACCCAGCGAAAGTAGCATAAAAAGGACATACAGGCCAGCCTTTGTCACAATCATAGATAGATGAATATGAATCTCACAAAGTTGATGGAACAGCCATTAATCTTTACACTCTAGTTAACATGGTATAAGGATGCATAAACTTAAAAATGTCATAAATAAAAGGGCAATTAATATGGTTTAGTGATTTTTTTGAGTGATGGGGATTGAGCCTAGGGTTTTGTACATGCTAAGCAAGTGCTTTACACTGAGCTACATTACCAGCCCTGATTAATTTTAAATACCCTCAAAAAGTAAAGCAGACATTGAGCATGTCATTAACCTGTCTTAATTATAAACAGAAATACAACGTGCTCTATAAAAGGGGTATCAATGTAGACACAGTACAAGTATTATGTTAAGTTTACAGACTATTCAGACTATCAGAAACTACCTTCCCAAGCATCAAGCTTGTAAAGTCACAGAGCTGGAGATGGGGTGTGGGGTCTTGCCCAAGGTCACACTAACAGAGCAGAAAATAGCACTTGAAGTTTCCAAGGCCAAACCCAGGGCTCTTTGTATTTCCCATTCTGCTTTCCAGAGGGTTCCACACAGATCTGGTGGAAATGGGTTTTTCTAGCCTTATTTTTCTCCCTGTTCTTTATCAAGTGGCTGGATTTCTATGAACGTCCCTTTGCTAATTAAAGTGTCTTATGCTTATGCATATAGAATAGCTAACCCTCGAATGAGCCAGTATGGTTTGCTAAGAATGGCAGCTGTACTGGGGAAAGCAGAAGAGCCAAATTGAGAAAGGGCCAGACAGGGTGGGCTGAAATCCTAGATCTACACTGACCAGCCATGTGACCTTCAGGACATTACTTAAGCTCTAATCAGTGTATGACAAGCACTTTGCCCACTGCCAAGGACAGGATAAAAGTTCAGTAATTGATGCACACTTCCATTAATATACAATACGCACCTGTTTTCTTTGTATCAGATAAAGAAAACTCCAAAAAGGTTGATTAATCATGAAAGAGGCAGAAAGACAAATAATGTAACTGGAAGGTCACATCCAAAGTTCTACCTGTGACCTGCTGGGTAGTGGCATTGGAGAGAATTTTACTTTCCTCTATTTAATGTTTTTGAATTTTTCTGCCATTGTATTTAACGTAAGAAGTAAAAACTAAAAGTTGTTTCTAAAAAAAAGTGGATTCATGTCTTCAACCTATTTTCTTCTAAGGAAAAGTCACAAACACATAAGCATAGTGAAGGCACCACTCAGGCATGCACATGGGTCTAGCTGATAGTCTGCCTGGTTGTTCAGCAAACATGCCAGAATAACCCACCCCACCCCTTAAACCAGGCTATGACTTAAGAAAATGTTTAATCCAGGTATGGTGGTACACACCTATAATCCCAGCATTCAGGAGGCTGAGTCACGAGGATAGTGAGTTCAAGACCAGCCTGTGCTACATGGTGAAACCATTTCAGAAAACCAAAAGGGAAAACTTTACCAAATGCCACTTATTCTTCTCATCTCTTCCTATATGTGGCGACAGCATTTCTTATAGAAATTACTGCTCTTGAAATCTGTGACAGGTGTGCTGAAGCCAAAATTACCTGAACAGCTTAAAATTCTGAGTTTACATTCAAACTAGTGGGGGGAGGGGGTTGGAATCCACCACCAACAGCTCCCTCTAGAGGCACCAAGAAGGAAAGACTTAAAACTGGTCTAGTGTCATTTATGCCTAGTAGAGAGAGGGGCTTGTTTCCCTTCTTCTTTTGAAAGCATTTCTAAGACAAAAAGGAATAAGTTTGTCTCAGACTTCTGTTCTCTTTCTCACATGGGAGTTCACAAGTAGAGATCCACAATTCCTAACAGAACGCCTGAAGTATACAAGCATACACCCACAGGAACAGGAGCTCAGAGAACACTCAAGAAGGGATGGGGGCAAGGAGCAGCTGGAGATCCTATTATGTGAGAAACAGAAGAAAACAGAGGTGCTCAGCCAAGGTGTGGTCTGACAGGCCTCCTCAGAAGGACAATCAGCCTTACTCTGTAGACCCACTAGTGGGTAAAGTGAATGGAAATCGGAGTTGCTCTCATATGACAGAAAAACTAAGGGGTACTGTCCAAACAGAACAAGCTCTGCAGGGCAGAATTGACACAGCCTCATTAGCTGAGGCGGGCTTCACCAGGGGCTGGAAGGCCAAACACAAAAGTTCTGAAGAAGAGTCATGAACTGGCAAAAAACTGAGCCAGCTTCTACTTAAAATCCTTTTGATCTCTCTAAAATCTTCAAAGTGCATGATAAAACTCCAAACACCTAAATCATCCTCAGTGTGATTATTCCATATTAAACACCAACGTACTGAGCTTCAAGCCCAAATGCACTTTCAAAATATGTTATGAGAAAAGACATCAGAATCAAACTAAAGGGTAGTCTGTAGCAATATCAATGCCTACAAGTCCATAATTATTTCAAAATTAAAAGCTTTAGAAAAGTCAAATTGCAGATATTTCCCCAAGACATTCTGAGTAACTTCAAAGATAACAGCTACAAAGCAGTGCAGCTTGAGTGCAATGTCATCAGTCACAAGTGACTGCACAAGTGGCCATGGGAAGTGGAGTTCACTTCCAAACCATGATCCATCAGCTCTAGGATCTATAATTGTGTTTAGGAAAGCCTGTGCCATGTTGACAGGTGTTGAATTTGGTTATGGTGATCATAAAACTTCAGTTATCTCAGATCACCTCATTAAAATCACCTATAGGCAATATACCCTTACAACTGCTTCCTACATGGCACAGGAACTGTGTAGAGTCAATTACTGTTTATCAAACTGTAATGTTAACTTGCTTATGCTTTACATCCTGCACAAACTATGACTGTAATGCTAACTTGCTTATGCTTTACATCCTGCACAAACCATGACTTACAACAAGAGCTGCATTTTGCTCATCTCAGGTCATCACCAAAACCCAACCCATAGTAGTTCTCCATTAATAAGAAATAAACGAGTAATGATTTTCTTTAATTTTTAGGTGACTTTCTTTTCTGATACAAGGACATTCAAAGAAATCTTTCAGTCTTTATCTTGGAATTAAATATAGATTAGCGTGTGTGTGTGTGTGAGACACAAAATCTCTGAATTGCTAAAGATCTCTATATCCGCTTGTTTTTTGCTAGTCTCCTAAGATTGTAACTCAGTTTGATTTAGAATAAAACAGCTCTCTTCCAGACAAAAAGACCAGTGCAAATTGGTTCTAACTTGAAAGTCCCTGCTAGAATGATCTCTGTTTAACTTTATTAAATGCCAAGAACAATCAGCTTCTTTTAGAAATCACAGTGTCACCTTTGGATTCTTCTATGCAAGTCAAAAAGTATATGGTGACTACTCTATATATTGCTTTGTAAGTTCATTAAGTACATTTTTAAATAAGTATTTTGAATGGCCCCAATCAATCAAAGCAGTGAGATCACAAGTACTGCATCCTCTGCAAAGAACATAATAGCTTAAACAGAAAACCCAGAAGCCACATTTGGAGTCAAGAAGGCTGTCTCAAAGACACGATGAAGGCTCCTTAAGATCCCAGAGACACCAAGGACTCCTCAGGGTCTGTCATCTGAATGGGCTCAGAAGCTGGCTTGATCCTTAGAACCTCTGCAAAGCCATCACCAAACCAGCAAGTGACATGTGCTATGTCCACTGTAAAGTAAAACAGACGGTCCTGACAGAGCTTTCGGCGATACACAGACCGAGGATCGGCTCTCAGCACAGCCTCAATGGCATTCTTTGCTTCCTCTGCAGATTGAAAATATTTAAATGCTGTCTGAACAACATCTGTAATGAGAAAAACAGAAGTTAGTGCTCAAAATCACACAAGTCAAGTTTCCCTACAGTAAGCTTCAATATGGAGAATGTGGTTGGCTTTCTACACATCACTTGAAATGAACAGGATTTGAAAATCTATTCTGTCATTACAGAAGCTGTCACCATCAAGTGGTATTTACTGTCATTTAACTGTATATCCCTCAAATTTTTATTTTACTGAATGAAAAAAAATCATGGTAGTATTTTTATTAGTCTCCCAATAGGAGGAGGTGAGCTTTCATTTTCTGTCAGCCAAAATGCCACTTTTTTTTATAATCAGTGTAGACTTTAATTCAATTTCTTGTCATTTTTTTCTCAGCACATAGTCAAGGAAACACATGACAGTGTCAGTATTCTCAAGAAACAAGAGAGAGCTGGGCACAGTGATGCGTACCTGTCATCTACTCTATTCCCAGTTACAAGGGAAGCTGAGATGGGAACATCATTTTGTTCTTGGGCAGCCCAGGCAAAACAGTTTGGGAGATCCCATCTTAATGGAAAAAGCTGGATATGATGGTGCATGTCTGTCACCCCAGCTAAGGTGGGAAGGGTAAAATAGGAGAATTGTGGTCCAGGCTAGCCTCGGCACTTTCCCCTTTCCTTCATTTCTTTCTCTCCCCTTCCCCTCTTTCTTTTTCCTGATACTGAGGATTGAACCCAGGACTTCATACATGCTAGGCAAGAGCTGTACCACTGGGCTACACCCAGCCCAGTTCCCCTCCTTTCAACCCCTTTCACTCTTCCAGATGCTGATGAAATTTCTAAAGTCATCTCTTGTCTCTATACTGGCTCTACAATGTGCCACCTGCTACCAGTTAATCCCTGTTCTATAGTTTTTGCATAATTTCTCTTCAACCTTTTATTTAAAATCAATAATGCATATTGTACCTCAGACACATTGCACTGTAGTTAGAAAAACAAAACTTTCCATAGCATTCAGCAGTAAATCTCAAGACGAGAGGTAAGTGGAACATAAGGTTCCTACTAGCAGTGTTCCTTTCTAACATCACAAAATACTTTCACAGCTGAACTTCCTCCCTCCAACTGTCCACAGTGCTGAATGAAACTTTTTAAATAGAGACTAATTTGAACATCAAAAACTTTGTTTTTAAACAAAGGAAAGGACTAGAGGAGTGGCTCAAGTGGTAAGAGCATCTACCTAGCAAGCTGAGGCCCTGAGTTCAAAACCCGAGTGCCACACACACATACACAAAACAGGACTTTAATTAAAAGTATATAAACAAAGAAAATGATGAGAAAGCACAGCCCTCGAGTGACATCACTGCTCCTGTCCACCAGGCTACCATCCACAGGGGCAGGTGGTACCCTGTGTAGGACACCTGACCAAGGCTGGCACATGGGGCAAAGACCAGTGTCTAAGCCTTGACAGGTGGCAGAGGAAGGGATACCTTTTCCTCATTTGTAAGACCGCGGTAGGGGCTGGCCATGGCCCTGGGAGGAAGAAATGGAGAAATCTCTAGACTTAGTTGTGGCATTTGTCTCTGACTCCACCTTAGTCCTCTTTTTCCATCAAGAGGAGTTCTTTCAGGTTAGAGTAACATCCTTCTATCTAGTCATCTTCATTCTCTCCCTCCTTGTAAAACAGGGGAAATCTAATGTCTATGGCTACTTAAGCCTTCATTTTCTGGATACAGAATGAAAGCATTCATTGATTTAAGGAATCCTAGCCCACCTTCGCCTGACACTGAGGAGTGACAGCCCAGAAATCATTTATAACCCACTCTGGGCAGTGATCTGACCCCAGAAATGGCCACCTGCTCTCTGGGAATATGGAAGTCAAGTTCCTCTGCCTTCCACTTTTCCCAAGAAAAAACCTCAAGTCCTTATGATGGCCTATGAAACCCCAGGTGGCCTCATACCCTCCTTGTAGCCTCTCTGACCTCAGCTCCTTCCACTCTGCCCTTCCTCAGTGACCTCATATGTGCCATACACCCTCCACCTTGGGTGTGTCCCTCAGGCTGGCATGTCCTTTTCCTGGACAAGCTCCTTCACTTATTTAGCCTCTGTTCATAGGTAACTCTGAGGCCTACTTTGACCACCTATTTAAAACTGCCATACCCTGGCCCTGGCTCTATTCTCTTTTACATTTTCCCATAACCATTATCACCATCTAACATTATATAATGGTTTTGTATATTTTGTATAGTAATGTGCTTACTTTGCTTTTAGACTCTTTCTCTCCACCCCTATTAGAATGCAAGCTCCATGAAGGTGGGGGTTTTTGAATCTGCTTTCTTCAGTGGTATAGCCCAAAGGCCTAGAGAACAGTGGCTGGTATCCAGAAGCTCAGTGAACAACTACAAAATAAATGAATGTAGATCCTGGTTTTGATTTTTTGAGACAAGGTCTTGCTATGAAGCCCAGGCTGACCTGAAACTTACAGTCCTCCTGCCTCAGCCTCCCCAGTACCAGATTATAAGCATGCACAACCATGCTGGGCCCACTTCCCTCTTTATGTGGCTGTGCTGGCTCATTAGTGAGAGGTAACTCAAAGAATAGCTCTCTGCCTTTTGGAAATCTGCCATCTCCTTGGCAACTGGCTACTTCTTACTGGCATGACCATTCTCACCGCTTAATAATGGCCTCCTTCATTCTAGATCTGCTATGACCTAGGAAAAACAAATAACATGCCAAGAACCAAGTGTTAAATGGGCTCCACAAAAGGACCCTGTGGCCGCTCTTCTCCAGGAAAGTCCATGTCCAGTAGGGACAAGTGCTCCTGGGGTCCTCTGTGCCCCCAGGCTCACCTTTTGGCCTCCTGACTGTTAGAATAAAATGTGACATTTTTCTCGTCAGATGGTAAAACAGACGAGAAGATGAGTGCACCTCAGTACAGAACAATCACAATTCAGCTCCTGAATGCTTTTTGAAAACTCCAAGGCGACCGTAATAGGGAGACAAGGGGCTGTAAGTCATGGCCACCATGTGAGGCAGTGACTGTTCTCTACAAATGCTAAACTGACCATGCTGACCAAATGTTTGTAAAGCAAAAATCGCCACATGATAGAGTTGCCCAAATACTAGTTTACTGTCCTGTGTCTTAAGTCAGTCATACTGACTCCATATGACTGCCCCCAGAGATAACATGGCTAAATCTCATTGTAAGTAAAGCCCACCTCTTGGACTGGTGGGTGTAGCTCAATGGTAGAGTGCTTGCCTAGCATGAGGCTCTGCATTCAATCCCCAGCACCACAAAAATAAAGAAAAACCCCCCAGCTCATCACTCATTCAAAACTAGAAAACTGAGGGTACCTGGTTCACCTCCTGAACTGAGCTGTCCAAGGTCCACCTCTGCATGAGGAGTAAACCGGACTTGTAAGGGGGCTGCAGTGGCCTCTCTCACCCAGGCGGGAACCATGCTGCAGGGCGCCCTGTTAGTCATCCTGGCAGGGCAGGAAGGAGCTGCATGGTGTTTCTCTGTACTGCTTCCTTGTAGGTCCATGGTGGCTTTCATGCTCCTTGGCCTCTTCTTCATACCTTCCTTTGGAGAGCTCTTCTCCAGACCAGGTGGCCCAAGCTGTTCTTTTGCCACACTCAGATTCTCATCACTTCTTGATTCCAAACCAAAATCTGTTTCTATGTCTCTGTGCTCAGGCAAGGGTCGATGGGTTCCTGTTGTGTCACTGTGTTTTGGGTAGTTTTCTTCTGAAGCTCTGTCTTTAGGACATTTAGGCTTCTCCTTAGTCCTATGGTAGCACTGTGTTTTATTGCACTCTGAGAGCTGTTGCTGGTCACAGCTGCCAGTCTTGCTATAAGACTGGGATACAGTCCTTGATTTATGTTGGTTATTCTGTAAATTAAAGTCCCCTAAAGGTTCCATCAAATTTTGTGGGGAGTCATAATCAGCTATGTAGGGCTTTATGTCTAACACGGGTGTGCCATGTATCATGTCAATTCCAGATAGGTATATAGTTCCTCCTGTAAAGTGAAAAAAAAATTCTCTTAACGGCATTCACAGTGAAAAACAGTGCAAACAACTGGAGGATAGAATTATACCCCAAATCCTCTCCCCAACAGGGTCTGTTTGTGCCTCACGGAGCTCATATTTCTCTCACGCACCAGATCTCCATACCTACTGTCAACTTACACTTTTCCATCTATCTGAAAACCCATCTTCTTCTTTACCTGTCAAACTCCTACTTGCTCTTCAAGGCTATCACAGGACACATCTTCTACCAACCTTTCTGGCTCTTCTAGCCAGAAATAAGCATTCCTTCTGGGTCCCAGAGAAGAGTCTGTATATAAACCACTAGAGATCTCCTTTCACATGAATAGCAATGCCTGCTGGGAATCTCTATCCCTAGGCGGTGAGTGAGCAGGCCCTGAGCATAGGTTGAGGTCAACTCATGTTTGCATCACTGATGCTTATAACTGTTCTAAACACATGACAGTCCTCTATACATCACTGAGGGACCAACAAGGTTTCCTAGAGTCTGTGTCAAACAAATTCTAGGTGGCCCCTCTTCCCCACTTCCTGCTGCTCTTGCCCTTGTGTAATCCCTCAACAAGTATGATTTGATTCTAATCTACAGAATATGGCAGAAGAGTTGTGATATCCTCCAGTGATTACATTTTCATATAAGACTCCTGCTTGCTGGTGGTCTCATTTGAGAGACTTACTCTGCATGCTGGGAAAGCCTATGTGGCCAGGAACTGCAAGCCACCTCTAGAAATGTGGGCAAACTTTAGGAGCTGAGGATGGCCTCCAGCCAACAGACAGCAAAAAGCTGGTGCCTTAGTCTTATGCCTGTAAGAACATGAAGTCTGCCAACAACTGAGTAAGTGTGGATATGGATTCTTCCAGTCAAGTCTCCAGAAAGGAACTCATCAGAGCTGAAAACTTAAATGCAGCCTTGACAGACCCAGCTAGGGTAAGCCTATTCTCCTGACCCACAGAAGATAGCAATGCTTCAAATACATCATTAATGTGTACTCTTTAAACTGATATATTCTGGCAATTTGTTACACAGCAATACAAATATAATATATACATCAAGACCCAAACAAGTAAGCTGTACATGCTACCATTACCAAATACTAAGTACGAGTCTCCTATTGTCCCACCTGTAGAGCTGCTGTCCACTTCCTACTACTGGTATAGAGTCTAGGGCTGGCAGAGTGGCCCAAGTGGTTGAGCACCTGCCTAGCAAGTGAGAGACTCCTGAGTTCAAACCTCAGCACTACCAAAAAAAAATAGATGCTTTTGGACTTTGTGTGTGTTTGCTTGTCTCACTATGTACCTCTGTCTGGTCTTGAATTCACTAAGGAGCCCAGGTTGAACCTCCTGCCTCAGCCTTCTGAGTGCTGGGATTACAGACATGCCCCAACACCAAGTCTGGCGATTTTGAACTTTCTTCTTCTTCCTCCTCTTCCCCTGACCCCTCCTCCCTCCCCACTTTTTTTTTGAGACACTGTCACTCTATAGCCCATATCCCACCAATTTTAGATTGCCTAATAATATCTGTAGGCATTGTAGCATCAGTAAGAGTTCATGAGGAAACTTGTGTTTTGTGTGTAACTCCCATGCTGTGATTTTTTTTTTTTTCTCTGTGAACCTTTTTTAATTGGTGGTACTGGGGTTTGAACTGAGGGCTTCACACTGGCTAGGCAGGTGCTTACCACTTCAGTCACTCCACCAGCCCTTTTTTGAGCTGGGTATTTTTAAGATAGGGTCTTGTGAACTATATGCCCAGGCTGGCTTCAAACCATGATCCTCCTGATTTCTGCCTCTTGAGTAGTAGCTAGGATTACAGCATAAGCCACTGACACCCAGCTTCTTTTATTAACCTGCCTTCTATTATAGGAGTGTTGGTCATGACCAACCAGGCATGGCGGGACACACTTATAATCCCAGCACTCAGGAGGCTGAGGCAGAAGGATCAAGACCTTACCTCAAAAAAATAAAAACACCTAGGTAGAAAAGGAATCACTCCGTTTTCCACCCGGGCACTATTTATAATTGATTCTCCTGTTTGTCCTTTTCCTTTTCTGATTTGACCTCCCCCAAGAGAATGCTAAACTCTTTAGGGCAGGGATTTTTATCTGATTTGGTTTCCACTGTTATCTCTAGCACTAGAACAATGCCTGGCACATATTCAGAGCTAGAAAATATGTGTGGGTTGCAAGAATGATCAAAAAATGTTCCAGTACTGTAAGTAAACTTGGTAAGCCATTTCAAACTGATAAAATGTAAGAAGGGTCACAGCTACTGAAGTTCCTAAAAAACCTACCCAAGACCTAACCAGCTGAGTATAATCCAACAAAGGAGTTTACGTTCTGGGAAAGAATAAGCAAAATAACCATTCTCATTGATTTAGTGCCCAACTGCCTAAAGAATACCCTGAGAGCTCGTCTCTTAAGATCCTCAAAAAAACAAAAAAAATACATACAGACACACACAAACACACACAAACACACACACACACACACACTGTGGAGTTATAGGGAGAGCAGGTCCTTCTCCTTTGCCTACTTTATAAACAAGCATGCTGAAGCCTGGAATGGTCTCCTGACTCCTTGTCTACCTGTTGTTTCATCTTCTGCCTCTCTAACAAATGTATTCTTTGGATCAAAGTGATTCAAGCATGAGAAATTTTCTAAAAATGTGTAATTAGGTAATATAGGAACACAAAGTTAAAACCAATCCAGTATTCTACGTAGGCACCTCTACTGTCTGACAGATAGTTCATTCTTTAGTGTGACTCATCCCAAGTCCCTGCCACACAACACAGGTAATGACTACACTGTAGTCATATCCATGTCCACAGGATGTAAGAAAAAAATTATATCCCACCCCTTACTTGCTTACCACATATGCATATACAACTAGCTACTGTGTGTTGCACTTAAAATTAGCCAACTATTTTTTAAACATTTTTTATTTCCTGCATTCCAAGTCTGAGAAACTCTGGTTACTAATCTAATGATTAAGAAATTTATGAGCTTTTGAAAAATAACTTAATGGCCAGGTACGGTGGCTCAAGCCTGTAATCCTAGCTGCTTGGGAGGGAGAAATCAAGGAGGATCACAGTCTGACACCAGTCAGGCAAAAAGTTAGCAAGACTCGATTTCAGCTACTTGGGGAGCGTAAGTAGGAGGTTCACGGTCTGAGACCTACCCTGGGCAAAAACTTCAGACCCTATGTGAAAAATAAAGCAAAAAGGGCTGAGGGTATGGTTCAAGCAGTAGAGAGTTCAAGGGGGTGGCCTTGAGTTCAAACTCCAGTACCACCAAGAAAAAAATAATAAATAACTTAATGGTTTTAGTCTAGGAATGGCTAAAAACTATGAAAAACAAACGGTGATGAGAACAAACTGCAAGGCTGATTTCATAATGCTTTCAAGCTAATATTCCTGCAGTCATCGTTGTTTCTCAATGTCTAGGATACTCAGGAGTTACAGCCACTGGTGTTCATGGACTTTAGGTTGGTTTTGTAAGACTTCTGGGACAAGGAAGATAAAAGGATTACCTTCGACCTTTTCCAGCGTGGCCAGGGTCAGTCCTATTGCATTGGGGCGATGAGGGCTCCTCGTGGAGAACACTCCGGTCTTTGCACCATTGAGCCTGGGGGGCTGCACTTTTGCTTTATAGCTTAGATGACCGTTTTTGTGAAAAACAAACAAAATCCTATTGAGAATAAACCAAACCACCAATTAAGAAAAGGACACAACTTATTTTGTCATAAAGATTTCAGGTAGGAAAATATAATCTCCCCCAGGAATGATTCTTTTTTTAACAGAAAGAATATTTTTAATCCACTAATAGGAAGAAAATAACACCATTCCCCTTTCTCAGAGAAACAGTCACCTCTACATCTTTTGCACCTAGCACAGTAACTTGCATACAGTTGGAACTTAATAGATATGTCTGAATAAACAATACTTCTAAGTACCTGCTGTTTACCAGGCAGTATGCTAAGTCATTTTTATACTAATTTCATGTAATTTTTTTTTCGTGGTACTGGGGCTTGAACCTAATTTCATGTAATCTTAATAATCCTAAGAAGTGTATTTTATCCTTCATCGTAAGGATGAGGAAATTCAAGCCTAGAAATATTAAATAACTAGTCTGACATGGTGGTGTACACTTGTAATCCCAGCACTCAAGAAGCTGAGGCAAGAATATCATTAGCTGGGTGCCAGTAGCTCACTCCTGTAATCCTAGCTACGCAGGAGGCAGAGATCAGGAGGATCGTGGTTCGAAGCCAGCCTGAGCAAATAGTTCAGCAAGACCCTATCTTGGTAAAAACCTTCACAAAAAAGGGATAGTGGAGTGGCTCATGGTGAAGGCCCTGAGTTCAAGCCCCAGTACTAAAAAAAAGCCTTCTAAGGAAAAAGAACATCATGAGTTGGAGGCCAACGTGGGCGCCCCTCAGGCTCGAGGCCAGCCTGGAGTACATACTAAGACCCTGTCTCAAAAAACAAAGAAAATGTTAAATAACTTGGCCAGGCCTTCCCAAACACAATTTAAAAAAAACAAAACCCAAGAAGCCACTGAGAAAAACAGTAACAGATCTAAGTTCATTAAATCATTAAATTCATGTATTACAAATGTTAGCCTAAAAGAAAATGCTTGCTGCATATAATAAATTAGTATCTATGGTATGTAAATTATTCTTGCATAAATCACTAAGTAAAGGACAACCCAATATAGGACACTGAGCAAAGAACATGAATAGGCAATTCATAAAAGATTTAGGAACAGCTAGCAATCATAGGAAAAGAGGCTGAGCCTCACTAAACTATTTTTCCCCTATCAGAAAAAACGCAAAACTCCAGTAACATACTGTGTAGGGAAAAAGTCATTTGCATATACTATTGAAAATATAAGTTAGTTGATTTTATTTTATTTATTTATTTTGGAGACAGGAACTCATTATACAGCCTACACTGGCCTCGAACTCATAATCCTTCTGCCTTAACTGCCCAAGTGCTCTGATTACAGATGTGTATTAGTCATAACAGCAAAACAGCTCTCCGCTGACAGTGCTGTGGTCAAATCATGGTATTCTGCAGTAACAGACAGCTATTAAAGCAAAACAAGGGCTGAGCACAGGTGGCTCACGACTGTAACCCTAGCTACTTCGGAGGGGAAACAGTACATAGGACCCTATCTGAAAAGAATCTATCACAAAAAAGAGCTGGTGGAGTGGCTCAAGCAGTAAAAGTGCCTACCTAGCAAGCATGAGGCCCTGAGTTCAAACTCCAATACTGCCAAAAAAAAAAAAAAAAAGGGTAAATTTGTATGTACCGCCATGGACCCTCTCCATGATGCACACTGTTAAGTGAAGAAAACATATTTCATTTTTTAAATCAAATACACACTCTAAATGTGAACATTTACATTCCTATGTGTATTAAAGGAAAAAAGGTCAGGTCTGGTGGGAGCTACATCAAACTGTTAAAAATATTTCTGAAGAGTGCTGGGGGAAGGGGTGTGAGAGGAGGAAAAAAGGGGGGGTAAAGAAAATTCTCTAGACTTCTGAATGCATCTTTTATATCAGCAATGCTTTTAATTTAGATAATTCAACCAAGATCATGCAGACTAGGTCAGAGCACCCATGTTTTTCTCATCCATGTCCTCAAATTACCATGAAAAACAAGGTATTTCAAAAAACAGTTAATTTGAGGTCTCCACCAGCAAAATGAGACCAATTCAGATGGAGATGATGGGATGAGGAAGACAGAGAGACACAATTCCAAATGACAGCAAGCAGTACCCAGGTTTCTGAGGTCTTTTGGCTTTTAGGAAGAGTACACTTAAATTCAGACAGTAAGTATTTTAAGATTTGAGGCTACTGTAGTAGAGTTACACAACCATAGCCACACACAGAGCATAAATAATGGGCATGGCTGTGATCCCCAAAAATTAACAGGCAATAGGCCATAACTTGGTCCACAAGCCAAAGTATGCTGACTCTTGGTGTAGAGGACAGCATAATGGCCCATGGACAAAAGGAGGTTTACGGTTTCAGCCCAACAAAAGGGATCCATCACAATTAGAGCTTCCAAAGTTGCTTCGACTGTAGTACTGTACTCAGGGCCAAGTACTCGCCCAAAGTACTACTTCTGACTATAAAGTAACTTACCAAACATGAGAAAATTGTTCTAGGCCCATCAAGGAATGCTCGGGATTATTAAAGATGCTCTTTCTAATCCTCAAACAAGCCCGTGAGTGGCTACAGATGGATGGCTGCCTTGGAGTACCATTCTTGGCCAAAAAACAGGATTCCAAATAGCCTATTGGCTCAGTTAAAAGATTACCTACAGAAGAAAATTGGGTAACAAATCATTAGTCAAAAGGTCACAAAAGGATGTAGAAAACATGCTTTCTCTAGTGCACTAATTTCATAGTTTTAAAATCTACTAGGTATTATACTAAAAATTACTCACTGGCAGAGTGGCTCAAGTAGTAGAGCACCTGCCTACCAAATGTGTGGCCCTGAGTTCAAACCGTAGTACCAAAAAAAAAAAATTACTAGCGGCCATGCATGCTGGTACACATCTGTAATCCCAGCACTTGGGAGGCTGAGCCAGGAAGATCCAGAGCTCAAGGTCAGCCCAGGCTATATAACTCCAGGCCAGTCTGGGCAACACAATGAAACCCTGTCTCAATTTTTTTTTTTTTAAATTTTGTTGTTTGGGATAGGGGTCTTGCTATGTTCCCCAGGCTGGTGTGGAACTTTCAGGCTCAAGTGATCCTCCTGCCTCAGTCTCTTGAATAGCTGGGGCCATAGGTATATACCACCACACCTGGTCCATGTTGGATTTATAGATAATTTTCCCCCCACATTGTGTAAGAGCCTTATTAAGTTATTCAGAGAAGTGATATAAAGACACTCTAGATTTTCATTTCCAGTTTCCATTAAATCTATCCTACCAGCACAAGCAGTGAGACTGTAAGTCTAGAACCTGGCCCTCCCAGTACCTTTCATTACTTTTTACATATAAAACTCTTTATTTGATACATATAAAACAGTGTATGCAGCATATAAATGACAAAGCACAATATAACAAAACCCTCTGTCCCAGTAGCTACTCCAAGAACTAGAGCACTCCAACAACCTACTTTTTCAAACTACTTTTCTCCTACTGCACACCAGTCCTTCCCCTGAGATAACCAGAAGCCTGAATTTGGTCTTTACCATTCACTTCCTTTCTTAGTCTGACTTTATCACATGTACATGTATGACTAAATAGTATTTCATTTATTTTGTCTTTGAGCCATATGAAAATTATCAAATTTTAAGTTATTTTATGATGTATCCATATTGTGCATGTGTTGATGGCTTTACATTTTTCTATTTAAACACATTCTTCTGACTAAACACATTTTTTTTAAATTATTTTTGTTAGGTTAGTTTTTTGTAGCTGTCGTTGTTTTAAACCTCATCCTTGCTCCTGTGGAATAGATCTAGTAAACATCTTAAAGATAAAAAAGACCCTGACCCAAATGATCTGGTGTCCACTAAGATATCAGAAATGGCTGGAGGTGTCTATCAGTGGTAGAGCAAGTGCTTAGCATGCGTGAGGCCCTGGGTTTAAACTCCCCCAACAAGTCAAGAAGAAAGACTGCCAAAAAGTACCCTCTAACCTAGTAACAGGATCCCTGTGTCCTGTTTTCATTTGTTCAAGAAACATTTTTCAACTGTCTACAATTGCCACCATTGGGTTAAGCTGAAGGAAAAGATCTTTCTTTATAGACTTGGGGGGCCTATAAATTTATAACTGATCTACTTACTTCACTAAGTCAGTCTATTCCTGTTTTTCACAAGTTACCCATATGCCATGATAAATGTAAGTGGAAATGTCATCTTTTACAATCTTCTGTCTCTAGAACATAAGCAAGATAACCTGGGTTAGCAATGAAGTGAAAGCACACTTAGGAGCAAATTCATGGGAGTCCCTCCAACTACGTCACTTTTAAACGCTTAGAACTACTCTCAGTATGTCAAATGTCCATATTCTAATATCTGAAACATACACATTCTGTGTACACTCCTCAGGATAATAAATGCTATGAAATATAAATGCTGAATAATTTTCAAGTGTAAATGCTACTTGAAGCAGAGACCTGAGAGTGTCCACCTAGAGGAATTCTGACCTTCCTCTTGCCTTGTATCTCAAAAAACCACTCCCTCCTTCCCCCCACAAAACCAGTAAGCATCTACCATTTGGTAGGCACTGCACTACGTGCATGGGATACACAGAAAAGAATCAGTTCCTGTCATCGAAGGCTTCCAGTACACTGACAGAGATGGAGAAATTAATCAACAGTTCTAACAAAGTGACTTACAAAGGGACAGAGGTGTACCAGAGTAGTACCAGCAAGAGAAAGGGGGAGAAGTGGTCCTCAGAGAAGCTTGATTAGGATTGGTACCAGGAGATGAAAAAGATAAAAACAACACAGGTCCACTATGCTAGTTGTATGCCCTTAGGCAAGACTAGCTTTCCTCTTCAAATCTAGGCTTTCTCTCTATAAAACAAGAATAATACCTCCCTTGAAAAGTTGAGAGTATACTAAAAAAAAATATGTAAAGCACCTAGTACAAAGAATGTCCTCAACCAGAAGTAGTTTTTAAAGCCCTTGCTCAGACCTTTTCCTCATTTTCACATTAAACGCATGCTATCAAAACACCCAGCAAGTTATTAATGTTGAGCTTTTTGTATACAAAGTTTATCTACAGGTCTTGCTATGAAAAAAATTCAGGTTCTTTTCATCTCTGCCTACCTAGACTATTAAATTACCCTTGTTATATTTCCTCTCCCCACTGCAGGCTTCTCTAGCCAAAACACACTAGGCCAATCCTCCACACTCCTAAAATTCCTTGTTATGCCACCCTAACTTTAAACTTTCTACATTCCCATTGTTAACAAACTGCTATTTCTTAGTCTGGTATTCAAGGTTCTCCCCAGTCTGAACAGCCCCCTTCCATCTAACACTTTAGATTTATAGCTTCCCCACCCCAAGCTCTATAAGACTCTGAGCCTTGGCTCCTGCCTGTTCTTAACTGTCAATATTAGACCTGTAATGTGGCAGTGTGCAACAAACTTTTTAATGAGCACAACCTTTGACCAGGTAATAATAGCAACTTGTAGGAAATTTAAGTTCAACAGTTAGAACACATACAAAGACATCAGTTTCAAGAACTTTCATTTAAAAGAATGAAAGCTGGCAATAGCTTAAATGCAACAACAGGAAATTGGTTAACTACATAGGAGCACATCTCTAAAACAAAACACCACAAAAACCCCTTAAAATTAAAAGTGCCATGGAAGGTTTCTGACGATGATGGGACTGGAGTTTAAACTCAGAGCTTCAATCTTACAAAGCAGGCACTCTACTTAAGCCACACCTCCAGTTCATTTTGTTCTGGTTAGTTTGGTGACTGGGGGGGGGGGGGGTTCCTGGAACTATTTGCCCAGGCTGGCCTAGAACCTCTATCCTCCTTATTTTAGCCTCCCAAGTAGCTAGGATTACAGGCATGAGCCACTGGTGCCTGGCATTTTTGTTAAATTTATGTTTTTAAAGTCATAAAACCCAGAGACTCTCCTATCACTTCATTTTCCTAGTATGTATGTAGAGAAGCACATATACGAGGTACACACCAAAATATTAAAGTTTTTTTTCCTGAGTGATGGCAGGCTATTTTTGTTTTCTTCCATTTGCTTCCTCTAGTTTCTAAAATATATTCGTTCCTTCTTAAGAGCAAATATTAGGGTGTGGGAGGGTGAAAATAGTGCAAATACTGTGTTCACATGTTGTACATGGAAAAAAATGATACCTGTTGAAACCATTCTAGAAACGGGGGGAGGGTGGGATAAAGGAGAATGGTGGAGAGGGTGAAGTCAAGTATGAAATATTTGATATACTGTAAGAACTTTTTAAAATGCCGCAATGTATCTCCACGCAGCACAATTTAAAAAGAGGGGGAGGAGAGTAAAGAGGCACAGACTTATGTCTTATCTTTCAAGCTGGGTCTAAAAGTACCTCCTCTCCCCAAGATTCCCCCCCTCCTCATTTCCCAGCATCCACTCATATAGTATTTATTCTTAACCAGCATGACTCCAGCTGTACACATTCTCTCTATAACTGATCAACTACTTCTCCAAATCAATCAATGCCTGCTTTTCACCAGTTACACATATGCTATCATAAATATTAAGTAGCAACCAATTCGATTTTTTCCAGTCTTCTTTGAGCGCCTCTAGAACATAAGCAAGGTAACACCGAGTCATCAATCAACTGAAAGAATACACTCAGGCACGAATCTGTAGCAGGGAGCACTCCCTAGGAGAAAAGGCCCTCACACAGCACGTGGTTGCTCTGGCCACCATAACAACACTAGGCGGACGGTACAGATCCTGCACGAAGACCCGAACATGTCAGATGACGTCATCACGCCCGCCTCGGACATATCACGTGGTTGCCAGATCACGTGACCTGCGCTTTCTCCTTAAGTAGGCCAATGACGCACGTCAGGTTAAGAGCTCGCATTTCACATCCCTCTCGGCAACGAAGCCGGCTGCTGGGCTTAGGCCTCTCCTGAGTGCCGCGCCAACAGTTTCTTAGAAGTTACCTGTCTCCAAGGCCGGCTTCGCGCACCCACACGAGCTCGCTATAGGCCGAGCCCCCTGCTCCTCCAAGCTGCGCATGGCTACCGGTCGCTGCGACGCCCGCGAGTTGCTACCGTACTTCCGCTTCCCGGCCTGGCGCATGCGCAGTAGCGGCTCCGTGCGCGGTCTTGACTGCGCCCGCCTTGAGTTGCGCACCAGCAGGTAGGCGGTCTCAACTGGGCGCTTCAGCTTAGCGGACTGGCCCCAGCTGTTTGTCAGCCATTGCAGTTGCCCTCCTAGGGGCAGCCTGGCATGAGGATTTACTTGCAAAGATGTCCTTCCATTTATTAATAAGCGGCCTGCACGACCAACGAATGAGCCTGATTCTTAAAGAAAAAGGATATGTATCTCATCACATAGCAAAAGAACTGGATGCGACATGTTTAGCGTTGTCCTTGAGTGGCAGGGAGATGATTATACTTCCCAGTGTTCTCCACTTTTTCTGTAATAAAACGATTTGTCAGAAAAGAATCCCAGGTAAATCCTACATAGGATGTGATGGGGTTAATGATCGGAGACTGTTTCTTGTGCCTCACCAAAACTGGAGTGAAAATGAAGTTAGGAGTCAGTGGTCACATTAAGAGGATTGTTGTCGTTGTTTCTGAGTCCTCTGAAAGTGGAGGGTCGACAATTATTTTCATCCCATGCGATGACCAGTCGTCCCTGTTCTGAACCTCCTGTAATGTCATTTCTCACATCAAGTTCTCTGTATAAATAATTCTATTTAGGAGGGCAGGAAGGACTTACCTGTAATATATTCAAAAACATACAACTCAAATTAAAAGGCTTAGCCGTGAAAAGCTGTTTCTAACTGTGTTCATTGTTACTGGCTAGTACAAAATAACCACCAGTAAAGACAGGTTGGATTGTGGATTTGATTAAAAAAAAAAAAAAAGCTGGGTATGTTTATACCGTGTCCTCCGTCTACATGAAGTTTGGAAAAAGCTAACATTGTTTTGCTTTTAGGAGGACGAGTTCTTCTAACTGGAGAAACACACACACACACAGATACACACACACAGATACACACACACACACACACAGATACACACACACAGACACACACACACACACACACACACACACACACAGACACACACACACACACACACACACACACACACACACGTAGGTGGAAGTACTGCACTTGCCACTAGGCGGCGCTGCTGCCCAGCATGGTGCTCACGTCATTCGTGGAAAAAAGAGGTATTTGTCCTCCAGGAAGGCATGAGAGACGTTTGATAATCACATCAAAAGTAAGTAATTACCGACTGTGACAAATACTGAAACTCAAAACAGACTTGTAGACACTAATGAAATATTCTGCCTTTTTTAAAAGGTTAAAAAAAAATCCCCTGAAAATAAGAACTTAAATACGCAGCACTATTTTCTCTGAAGTTTTCATCTGTTTAGAGCTTTATCTGATTTATTTCTAGCTTCTAAAGCTTAACCCCCGTCTCTGGAGGTAGGACGAGGAGTATGCGTTAACTCCCCCATTCTGATGCCCGTGGTCACCAGTCTGTGGGCCTTTGAGAAATCCTCTCAGTAGACCCCTGAGGGTGAGGACTGCTTTGAGAGTTAGGCAAAGCTTGGGAGCTTCTCACACTTCATCTTGGGTGTTGTATCAAATTTGAAGAACCACCATTGTGCCTACCATGAGAGGAGGGCAGCACAAAGTCAGGTTTGGAGGGATTCTTGAAGAATTTCAGTTCTCTGGCTTCAAGGTTCTAAACCAAGAACAAAACTGGGGGAAAAAACAGTTGTGTGTATGGGAAGTGGTGGAAGACAGCAGGTGAAAGGGGGCCTAAAAGGTGCCTTCAATGTACTTCATCTTTTTCACCTTTGTGATCCTTGTACCTCTCTTAAGGTTCCTCTTTATGAACACTACTAGAACTTCAGATTTCAGTTCTCTCTCTCTCTCTCTCTCTGTTTTTTGTTTTTTAGCCGTTTGGAGGATTGGCTATTCTACCACTCAAGCCACCCCTAGTCCTTTTGCTTTGAGTTTGTGTTTTTGTTTTGTTTTGTTTTGTTTTTTGGTGGTACTGGGGTTTGAACTCAGGGCTTCACACTTGCTAGGCAGGTACGCTACTACTTGAATCACTCCACAAGCCCTTTTTTGTGTTGGGTACTTTTGAGATAGGGTCTCACGGACTATTTCCCCTGCTGGCTTCGAATTGTGATCCTCCTGAGTAGCTAGAATTAGGTGTGAGCCACCAGCACCCAGCTTGACTTTTTCAGATAGGGTCTTTCCCGGACCCTCTTTCTCTAGTCTTGATCCACTCTGGCATGTAAAATTGAGACCTAAGCATTCCAAAGACAGAGCACTGTCATGAAAGACACTGAGTAATGCAGATAGAACTTTGGATGATAATTAGCCTCTCTGAAGTCATTCTCTCATTTGTAAAATGAGAGTGGTAACCACTGCCCAGTTTCACAGGCTTTTCTATTAAGGAAGTATAAATATTGTAGTGATACCCAGAAGTAAGGAATGGTCTCTTCTGCGTTTGTACTGCTATTGAGCACTATGGAGTATGAATACCCATACAATGAATATATCCTGAGGAAAATTTTAATGAGCCTGCAAAGAGGGATAGCAATTATGAGGGAAACAGCCTATCAGTGGTTCTCAGACCTAACTGTAGATTACAATCATCAAGAGAGCTTTAAAAAAAAAAGCCAGGCATCCCAGTACTCAGGAGGCTGAGGTAGCAGGATTGCAAGTTTGAGATCAGTCTGGGCTACATGGTGAATGCTGTCTCAAAAATTTAAATAAATAATCCTGGGTTAGATGTTGAAGCAGAGAAAGAACGTCAGTAGGAAAACATCAGTAGTGAACACCAAATAATGTCTACTAATCAGTGGTAATGTAATTATCTGAATTTCTGAGTTTTAACAAATGGGCCTTGGTTATGTAAGGTGTAACTTTAGGATAAACTGGGTGAAAGGCATATAGGAACATCTGTACTATCTTTACAACTTTTCTATAAATCTAAAATTCTCCAAAAATGATTATCTAATGCATAAAATAATTAAAAAATAAATATACCTACATTTAGATGTCTCCCAAGATAGGGGATTCAGAATCCCCAGGGGAGGAGCCTGGCATCTGTATATTTGAAGACTTCCCCAGTGATTCTCACGTGCCATGAGGGTTGAGACAACTGCTCTTTACCATGAATGCCTGAGGGCCTGGAATCCTGTCTTGTTCTTTCATACAGCCTAGTTCCTAACACAAGGTTTATGTGGAGAGCTTGTGCAGTTGTGTCCTTGCTGAATGAACCTTTATTTACTGAAATCGACTTTATTTTTAGTCCCCTATAACAGCAGAAGGAAAACCAAGCAAATGAAACACCAGGGGAGATTTTCAGGCATCTTCCCACCCACCCAGAATAGTTCCTATTCCTGACCCTAGTCTGTTGTGATTTTCACTTCACCTTGATCATTGTCACCAGATGAATATTCTTAAAGTATGAAAACTGCCACTCCATTGTTCAAAAGTCTTACAGACTGAACATGTGGTTCAACCAGTAGAGCACCTGCTTTGCAAGCATGAAGCCCTGAATTCAAACCCCAGCTCCATCAAAAAAGAAAATGTCTTACTTCCCCCTAATAACTAATAAGTGATAGACTTCTTAGTTACATCTGCAAAATTCTCTACATTCCACTAGTTCTCTTGAACCTGGACCACCTACAGTTATGCTGTTCACCTGTGCAGATCCTTTCCGTCTTTGAAGGCTTCACTCCAGCAGCAGGTGAGCACTCCCTATTTAAATGGCACTAACACTGTTTTCTTTTGGAGTTGGTTTATGTTTTTATTCCCCTATGAGGCTAGATTAAACCTTGGCAAGCAAGGACTCTGTGTCACATAGGTTATCTAACCCCATAGTACATGATGCTGTCCACACGGTTACTCATAGATTTAATGTACATTTGCACAAGTACAATGTTGGAAAAGGAAAAACAGAACACACAAATAGAAAATTAAGCTACACATCCATGATTGCAAAATATCTTTTTAAGGAGTCCACAATGAGAATAATCCAAGAGAATAAAAATAAATAAAGAAAAAAAAGTATTTTTCAAATATAGAGGGAATGAATATATTTAAAGCACACCATATACATGTGTGGAAATACAATAAAATCCCTCACTTTGTACCATTACTGTATGCTAATAAAAATAATTTTTAAAAAAGAATTGTTCAAATTAACTATAAGAGCCTCCAAAAACCTGAATAAAGTTTTGATGTTATTGCATCAATAATTGGACAAAGTTTAAAAGAAAACTATAAACTTCCAAAACACTAAATGTTCACATTTAATCACTTATCTCTTCTTAAGACTCAAGTAAACCAGGCATATGGCTTATATCTGCAATCCCAGCTACTCGGGAGGTGAGATCAGAGGACTGAGGTTCTAGGCCAGCCTGGGCAAAACATAGTGAGACCCCCCATCTCAATAAGCTGGGCTTGGTGGTTCTGGCCTGTCATCCCAGCTATGCAAGAGGCTATACCAGGAAGGAGAATCTCAGTCTGAGACTGGCTCCAAAGAAAATATGAGACCCTACCTAAAAATTAACTAAAGCAACAAAGGGCTGTGGGCATAGCTCAAGTGGTAGAGCACCTGCCTAGCTAAACCCAAGGCCTGAGTTCAAACCCCAGTACTAGCAAAAGAAAAAAAAAAGAGTAAATCCATTTTTCAGCCCTCCTCCTCCTTTTGTCACTTCTCTCTACTCTCTTCTCCCAGATATACATATATACACACTTGTGCACACACACCCTTTAGCAGAATATCGTCTATGTGTTAAGAGTCTAAAAAATGTTAGTTCTCTGTTTCAAATATGGTCTAAAAATAGAAAAACAAAATATGAATGAATATTGTAGCGATTTCTACAATGTTTTGAGAAAATCACACACATAAAATATTGAGATGTATATTCTGTTGGACTGCAACTTTATGGTTGGGCATCACTAAAACAAAACATAACTGTAGACATCATTTTCTGGATGAATCTCTTGAGGAACATGTGGAGTTGCTGGGATTTCTGGTTCTGCTTTGGCTTTTTCTTTCAATTCTGTAAAATCAAATGAGATACAAAAATATATTCAGTAAATAGTATTGGGACAATTGATTATCCACTTGCAGGGGGAAAAACCCTGCTTCATACCATGTACAAAAACAAATTTCAGATGGATTACATATTTAACTGAGGCAAGCACTCAGTAGTAGAGTGCTTGCCTAGCCTGTGCAAGTAGTCCTGGGTTCAATCTCCATCACTGCAAAGAAACAAAAATAGTAATAAACCACAAACAACATGTATTTAATGAAGGATTAAAAGAATTTCATTTTGTAATCTATTTTTTACAGTGCTGGAGATCAATTGAACCCAGGGCCCCATGCATTCTTAGCAAGCATCTACCATATGAGTCACACAATCAGTCCTTTTGTTTTAGTTTGTTTTTCAGATGGAATCTTCCACTACCTTTCTGCTGGCCTTCAACTGTGATGCCTATATCTCTGCCTCTCTAGTAGCTGAAATTGCAGGCATTTGCCACCACGCTAGGCCCCCAAAGAATCTCTTTAAAAAACAATTTTTTGAGGATAATGATGGTCTGAGAGACTCGACCCACTTCTTAACTGTCTGTAGTATTGTACAAAGAGAATTGAGGTTGTTAGTTATGTCTCTGAGGCAAGTCAATTTTTTTAAAAGGCCACAGACATTATTTTCAAAACACTATGCTGAGGAAAAAGCTTTTCAGGAACAAATATTGGAATAGAAAGAGTTTTCCTAATGCCTACAAGAATGAGTTCCCTAGTAACAGGATCTTTTACAACTTTCCTATCTCCCTCAGCCCCTTGTATTATGAATTTACTTCCCTTTAGTTTATCAGGAAAAAGAAATTTCTTGGGAAAACTTCAAGCTTTCTTGTTAAACTAGAATTAATTGTCCTTTAAAATATTTTGCATAAAATTTATCCTATTCTAGGCTCATCTCACTATAGTTTCTCAAAATAGTTTTTTCAGTTACCTACTATACATGCTTGCATCTTCAGTTATTTTAATTCTTTGGAACTATGCCAAGACAGAACACTGATGGCATGAAAATATGTTTTATTTGAAAACAGCCAATATTGTCCTAGTACACAGTGAGTTAACTGGGTGTTGTCAAAGAAGGCTGTCAATCACTGCTCTGAGGAAGAGGTATCTGTTGTTGCTGTAAACAGCCCTCACCTTGAGGAAAAGGGAGAACATCTTTAGAGTCTTCCTGGTGTGCTTCTGAAGCCTGGCCCTGGGGTCCACCCGCCTCTTGGTTTGGTTCTGGAAGCCATTCTTTAGACACATGGCTATTCTCATATGTCTTAGTAGAGAGGTCTTCAGGCTCAGGAGTTTCTTTGTAGGTTTCAGGTGAATAGTCCTCAGGCCCAGGTGTCTCTTGGATTGTTTTAGGAGAGGAAACTTTAGGCACAGTAACTTCTGTATATGTTTCATGAGAAAAGCATTCGGGCTCAATTGTTTCTTGGTATGTTTTTGTAGAAAGATTTTTAGACACCACTATTTCTTGTGTCTTGGGAAAGGAGCCTTCAGTCTTAGCTATTACTTGATCTGGCTCAGAAATGAGTTCACTTGGTCCAGCTGGCTTTTGATATGTGTCAAGAGGATAGTGTTTGATCACATCTGGTTTGGGAGAGTGTTTGGTCACATCAGGAGAGTATCCTTCCAGGTCAGCTATGTCTTCAGATGTTGTAGAAGGAAGGACTTTGGGAACAGCTACTTCTTGGCGGATTTTAGAAGACGGGACTTCTGGTTCAGCCATATCTTGGGACATTTTGGGAGGGTCATCTTGAACTACAGCTATGTCCTGGCATGTTTGAGGAGAGAGGATTTCAGGTTGAGCCACAGCTTGGCATACTTTGGAAGACTGGTCCTGAAGTACAGCTGTTTCTAGGCATATTTTAGGAGAGAGGTCTTCAGGTTCAGTCACATGTTGGCATGTTTCAGAAGAATGGCTTTGTGCCACCATTTCTTGATACTCAGAAGAATCTTCCTGATGTATGACGCTGTCTTGATGTATTTCAGGAGAATGTTCCAAAGGCACAACCTTTTGAGAGGAGGCTACCAAAGGAAAGGCTTCGGTTACACTCCCAGGTGGCTCAGTTTCTTTCTCTGTAGCTGTCAGTGCTTTCTCCATCATTTCCTTTGCTCTTTGTGTCAGAGGCTCCACCTTCGGTTCTGCATTTTGTTCTCTCTTTCTGCCTCTTTGATTTCCTTTTCCTGTTCTCTGCCACTTGCGTTTTTTCTGTTTTCTGTAGAGAGAGAAAAATTGGTGTCAGCAATAGGGCTACATAATTCAAATAAATACTTCTAACAACAGTCCCAGATCCCTCACTGCCTCGTCGCATGACCTTGAACAAGTCACTTCATCTCTTCTGGATCTCAGTCTCTTTGTTTGTAAAATGAACAGTGCTAGATGTTCTCAGTTGTTAGGAAAGGATAAGGGAGGGGGTGGGGGCAGGGGGGAGAAATGAACCAAGCCTTGTATGCACATATGAATAATAAAAGAAAAAAAAAAGGAAAGGAAATGTTCCTTCAGAACATTTGATGTCAGAGTGTGTGTGTGTGGTGCATGTGGAGGGGATCAGATAGGCTTAAAGTTCACTTAGGTAAAGTGTATTATTCATGTTAGAAATTAATAGATTGGCATTCTGGTTTGTACAGTCATCCCCTTGGGTTTAGTACATATGAGGTGGCCCACTGTCCCTGGGTAAAGTGACACCATTGAGTCTCTAGATCTACAGCCCAGCCTGGACCCTCACTTGTGCAGTCTGCAGGGGATTGTGTGTACCTTGCTGGTCTGATAGAGTGCCACCTGAATAGGATGTTAAGTAGCTCCAGCAATATCAAACAAATACCACAAGCTGGGTCAGAAACTGTCAAAAATATTTCTTGAGGTTAAGAGGCATGGTGGGAAGGGCATGAGTGGCCATGTTATATCTAATTAATGGATTAAAGATCAAAGGATATGCATGGAAATTGCAGGCAATGACAAATTGTTAGGTACTGCAAATATAACCAAATGCAGATGGCTAATACAGATGGGTTGGGGGGTGTGGAAAGTACTGTAAATAAGGATCCCATCATTCTCCAAACTCATTGAAATTCTGTTGCATGCTATCACTGCTTGCTCCATGACGCCTTCTCTCACAAATCACAGGGCTGAAAAGCTTAGCCCTCCTGTAGGATGGATTGTGAGTGTCATGCTTTAAGCAAGGAGCATAGGCTGCCTCAACTGTACTTTTTTCTGAAGAGGTCATATTTCTTTAGTAAAGGAGACATTCTTTGGATAAAACCAGTTTTTGTTACATACTTATAATGCTTATTTTAAAAATGTATACTCTATTCTACATTTGTGTATGTTTGTAATTTTCCACATTAAAAAAATTTTTTACTTGGTGGTGTGAATCAAGTGGTAGAGCACCTGCCTAGCAAGACAAGACCCTGAGTTGAAAATCTAGTACCACCAAAAAAAGAAAAAAAAAGGTTTTTAAAAGATTACATCATCAAAAAAAGTTTAAAGTACAATCAAACAGGTATGTATGTAATAGAAAAGTCTGTAATCCTAGTACTCGGGAGACAGAGGCAGGAAGTCTACAAGTTCAAGGCCAGCCTGAGCTATGGGGTGAGAGTCTGTCTCAAAGGTGAATGATATCTGCCCAAATATGTGTGGTGGTTAAGAGAATTACATACAATAACTTGCATGGAGGAATAATGCAAATGCAGTGTAAAATAGAACTCTTGTATTAATACAGGGAACGTCAATAGTCCTGTCAATGTGTCTGGCACTGTCGTAAGTAATTTACTATTTCTGTTATTTCATATAATCCTCACATCAACCTATGAGGTGAATATAATTATCTCCATTTTGCTGATGACAAAACCGAGGCCCAGAGAGTTTAAATAACTTGCCCAAGGTCAACAGCATGGAATGGGGGAGTCAGGCTTTAGAGTTAGTCATTCTGGCTTATCAACCATGCTCTTAACTATTACACCCTGCTGCTGTGTTCTGAAGCCTCTAAGGTTTCACTGTGTACATATGTTGTGATGAGGAAAGAGGGCACAACCCTTAGTAACATAGTGATGTGTGCCAGAGTAAGTCTAGCCAGCTGCCAAGAAGCTACCAAGATGTCATCTGTTCCAGTGAGTTCCTTGGCTTTGTCCCCCCCAGCTCAGTAAAGCTTGGCAACTCTGTCAATGCACCATGACACTAGCTACATTTATCAGAGGCAGAGCTTGTTGGCCAGGCTCAAAGACAGAGATAGATAAATCCAAAGATCAGTAGTTAACCGTGAGAAACACAAAGTCACACAGCAGAGACTGCTTACACCAGCAGACAAATGCAAGGGAAACAAGTACAGTCCTTTGTAGGTAGGTACTTGGGAAAGCAAGGACTGACCAGAAGGCTGCTCAGTGAGCGTGGAAGCAGGGGAACTGATTGGATAATCTTCAGCAGTCACGGCCACAGGACCCAATATAGAGGTTTCTACTATAAATCATGTACAGAGTCCTGAAAGCCTCACTTTCTGCAAAATCATGCACTAAAAAGTGACAGTGGTTATGGTAGGAAAATAGACTTGAGACAAATGACTCAAAACCCATACATCCTTTTAATGGAACAAAAACAATAATTGGTACTAGCAGAGAGACCCTGAACAGTCCAGCTGGCAGCCCACAATAGCTGGAGGCCTCGGGGGATGATAAAAGTGCACAAAGGCAACAGTCATTGTAGGCTCACAGTTGCTGAGACCTAAGCTCAGAGCTGCTTGGAGCCAGTGCAAGCTGCCATGTGGTGGAGAGCTCTGCAGGGCAGGTGCTGTGCCTCTCTGGGGAGGGAGCCCTGAGTGCAGGCTGAACAGGCTCCTGCCTTCACAGAGGCCTGGTGGAGGGTGCTTCCCTACATTCTATTCCCAGTACTCTGGCTCTGTTTGATCAGGAAAAATGATGAACCAATACCATCCATGTTATACTGAATCATTTCCCTATTTACCAATCATATGTGAATGAGCTAATTGGTATTATGGAAACATCTGTGGTAACAGAATGCACAGCACTGTTCTGGGGGAATGAGAAAGCCCCCCTCCGTTTTTCTTGAGACAGGGTCTCCTATACCTTCCAATTTGCCATCCTTCTGCTTCAGACCCCCAAGTACTGGAATTACAGATGTGCATACCTGCACAGGCTAGAGAAATGCCCTTTCTCTAAAAGAGTGCTTTGCCTAGATCAGTGCTCATCAACTGTGATTTTGCCTGCCTTCTCTCTAGCCCACCCCAGAGAACATTCCACAACATCTGGAGACATTTTGGTCATCACAGCTGGTGAGGGAGGGAGGAAGGAAGTGCTATTGCTTTCTAGACAGGCAACGCTACTAAACCTCTACAATGCACTGCACAACCTCCCACAACAAAGAATTCTTCCTAGAAGCTCGCTTAGACGGACCCTGCATTTTGTGCTCTTTGGGCTCTGCTATCTCCAAATAAGCAAGTCTCCTGTTGTCATGGTCACAGCCTCAGTGGATGCAATTAGTGCTACATAACTTACAATCTTGTCCCTGCACTCCTTCCGTGGGTTTAACACAGGTGATTTTGATGGGAACGTTTGTCACGCTTTTACAGGAGAGTCGGTCCCCCTCATTCAGCGAGGATTCCCCTGACAGAACGGTCCAGCATGATGTTTCCTGCCCTCAACAACAAGATGCCTGTGGATTTGTAGGGCCAGCCCATCGGAGGCTGGGTTTCCTCTTTTGTAAAGCACGAATAAAAGCACCTGGTTTACAGTCTCTCTGGAAGCACGGACAGGGTGTACTAGAGCACACAGCACTGACTGCCATGCCGCATGCATATGATCCCTTTCCCTTGAAATACTGTACCCCAGTAGCCATTGTGAGGTTTGCTTCTCTTGTGCTTCGGCTTTTCTTTTCCTGAGTTGTTCTCTGTTTCGCAAACTCCAGGTTCCAATGACTTCTGCAGGATGAAAATAAAGTTACGAGAGAGCGGATGACTCGTGTGTCCCCCATCAGCAGGATATTGCAAAGTGGCAGGATTCCTCTCCCTTGGTTTTTGAGGGAAAGGGCCATATTTTCTCTGCTCCAGATTGGAGCAGACATTCAGGAAACAATGTTTTTTTGAGACAAGGGTCTCACTATGTAGTCAAGCTGGTTTCAAATTCACAGTCCTCCCTCTTGACTCAGCCTCCCAAGTACTGGAATTACAGATAGACACCACCACATCTGGCTCAGTAAATATTTTTGAGTGATAAGAGTTCAAAGACCTGTTCATACATACGTGGTATCTATACTAACGTGTGCTTACAACCTATGGATTTATTCAAAATCATTTTTATATGTTATGTAAATAATAAAAAAAAATCAGTCATGTTCTGCCATCTTTACCATAACCTGTTTTTGTTTCATTCCTCATTTTTATCCAAGCCATATATTAAGCAAAGCTGTAATGATAGCATATCATGATTTTACCTTTTTTAAAACCTAATATTATATCAGAAATATTTTCAATGACATAATCTTCATAGCTATAATTTAAGTGATGACATGGTACTAGATGTAGCTGATACATTCTCATTTATCTAGTCATTCCACTTGTATTGAGCATTTAAGTTGTTGGCAGGGTTTTTTTTGCCTGGTATTTCAAACCATTAAGAAACATATTCAAGCAGGGCGTGGTGGTACACACCTGTAATCTGAGCAGTTGGGAGGCTGGAGCAGGAGGATGGCAAGTTCAAGGCCAGCCTGGGGCTACAGAGTAAGACCCTGTCTCAAAAACACAAACCAAAAAAGCATATTCAATTGCATATAGCTTTGGCTTTTTTCCTTTGGGATTTTTCCCTTAGGGTGGTGTTTCTTAAAGTTCTTTGGAATATTAAGGGTATTATCAAAATTGTTTCTGCTGCCATCCAAATTCAAGCAAAGTTAATGGGACATTAAGGTTAGAACTTCTCAGTGCCTATAAAGAGAGAGAGAGCTGTACAGGGGCCTCCAAAAGGCAGAGCACACCCCTGGGACCATAGTACTTTTGTACTTAGTAAATGGTTCTTGATGGGGGAAAAAAACGATACCTGCATTTTTGCCAACTTCTAATTAAAATAACAATTTCCTTCAATTATGAATGTAGGTAACAGACCTCAATAGTTTTAGCACTACATGAATTTGTCACCCAAAGAAATCACATATTTTTTTCATGTTACATTACAGTTGTAGATACTCTAAAATATCAGTTATAGATGTGATTTTTTTTATTTAATACTATGATTATTAGACCCACCACTGTATCTTGTTATTTAATGCATCTATAAATAAACACCTATATAGCTAATCACGATTTTTAAATTTTGATAACTATCCTAATATGATTACTTCCCTTGTAATCCTATGTGTTTAATTTTATGTATTTAAATGGTTTATTCTAAGAAAGGGTCTGTAGAGGTCTATCAACTGAAATGTTTTAAAATATTTCTTAGAGTAACTCAAGGCCTAGGGTTCCACAAAACACTTTGAGGAATGCTAGTTTAGAACAGATCCAAAGGCTGAGATTAGAAGTCAAAAGAATAAACACTATTACAATCTTTGCTTCCTACTGCCAGGTAGGAACTTTCCAAAAGTCATACCAAATTTACACTACTGTAAAAGAGTAGGGGTGGATTTGTTTTACCACAACTACCCAGTATTGAATATTTTCATTATCTCTCATTTAGAAGGATTTCTTATTAATATTTTATATGTTTCTCTGGCTTATTAAGTTCTTAGTGCTAAAAGGCACTGCAGGAGGTTATATATAACCCTGTTCTTCCCACCTAAGGTTATGTGAATGTACTCAATTATACTTCTTTTTTTTTTGTCAGATCTATAAAGAAAGGATAGTTCTTTCCCAAGTAATCATATTCCCAAGTCTTCCTAACAGGAACCACCCCTACAGTATCTTTCATTACCTGGGACAGGGGTCTTTTCTTGATGAAGGTCAGGTGTCTGAGGGAGCTTCGTATGAGGTTGGTCCTTTCCCAAGTCCATCCTGCTGCAATACCTTCCTGGTATTTGCTCTGACTTCCACAAGCAGCCTCAAAGCTTTTTTAAAATATCAAAACAAGTAACACTTAAAAAAAAAAGCCCACACAAGTTCACTTGTCACTTGACTTCCCGCCTAAAAGGTTTATCTGGTTGGACCGCAGCTGCAGGCAAATTCTACTTTCTTTATCACAGTGCACAGGTGTGAGCAGGGAAAATGGCTGGTACGGTGTCCTCGTCCTCGGCATAGGTTGCTATTTATACAGGGAACCCCTCAGGCACAGCCTGGCATGTGCACACTGCAGTCCAGGCGTCATTTGGTTCTATCTGCCAGCAAGTGTCTGGAGTCCTTTTTAGGACACCAAATGACTGTACTGGATGCTGTGCCATGCCGACTGTGAGGGATTCCTTTTTACAAATCTAGGTAGCCTAGTGTAGAAAAACACTCAGTCTGGGTTCCAGCCATCTCAGTGGCTCAGGACAAGTCACTTCCTTTTTCTGTGACTTTCTTATTTGCAAAACAAGTAAATAATCCCTTTCTTGCCTATCTTGCATAAGGCAGTGCAAATAATAGACATGAAAATTATGAAGTCTACTATTTAGATATAAAATTAGTCTTACATTTTTTTCTAGATATGGCTTTTTCACCTTAATCTGTTGCAAAATAATGTAAAATCTTGCTGTGTATGACCTTAGACAATAAATAGCCATAAAGAATCGAATTAGTAATTCAAAACAAATTTGTACCCCCACCTTTTTTTTTGTCTAGTCGTTCATTCATAAGTGACTCAAAATAACTAGTAAAATCCATTGTTACTCTTCCAGGGGAAGGTCAAAAAGCATTTCATAATGAAAATATCACTGTGTCATGTCCCAAGTATTAAGTTGCAATCCAGAGAACCTTCCCATCTCCAATTGGTTGCCCCATTTGTGAAGGGAGGGAGGCACAGAGGATCATGGTTCAATGAAAGAAGGAACACTGAGCACCTCTGGTAAGGGAACTGGTTTGGGAGACACAGGGTTAGCTATTCTGGTGCCAGATTGAAATGAAGAGAATTTGAGTCCCAGTGTTTTCATTCCCTAATTCAGTGACCTTGGAAAGTTAGGTGGCCTTGGAGCCAGTTTACCCAGCTGTAACACAGGCCAATATTGGCATTTGCTTCATGAACTTACTGGGACAATTAAATCAAATGATCCACCTAAGGCATTTTATATGTGCCTGGAATCTCAAATAAGTGTTGCCCAGCATATTGAGCTTTAATAAATATTAGCTGCTTTGTTAATAATAAAAATTCAGTAACCAGCTGGGCATGGTAGCACACATCAGTAATCCCAGTACTTAGGAGACAGAGATAGGAATATTGTGAAGTAGAGGCCAGTCTGGGCTATATTGTGAGCTTCAAGTCAGCCTGGACTATACAGAGAGACCCTTCTCTAAATAAATGAATAAACAAATAATGCCTGTAATCCTAGCTACACAGGAGGCAGAGATCAGGAAGATCATGGTTCAAGGCCAGGCAAGCAAAAAGTTCAAAGGAGCCTGTTGGTGGGCCTGATGATACGCAGCTGTCATGCCAGCTGTGCAGGAAACGATAGGATTTCAATCCAGGCTGGGCTGGGCATAAAACATGAAACACTATCCCAAAAATAACTAATGCAGAAAGGGTTAGGGTGTGGCTCATGTGGAAGAGCATCCATCTACCAAGCTTGAAGCCCTGAGTTCAAACACAAGTACCACCCCCTGAAAAAAATCACTATATAGATACTGTTATGTATATTTATGTACATGTACATATATGTGTGTCTCTGTGTGCTTATATATATATAAATTGGTATTTGCTCTGACTTCCACAAGTTATATAAAAGTGTGTGTGTGTGTGTGTGTGTGTGTGTGTGTGTGTGAACAGGTATCTGCTACTTTTATAGTCTTTTTCTTTTCTGTCAGTGCTGGGCATAGAACACAGGGCCTCATGCGTGCTCAGCACGTACTCTACCCCTGAGTTACACTCCCAGCCCTCAGGGAGTCTTAACACACTAGAACTAGGGAGTGGGAACTTTATTCCTTGCCCCTTTTTCATATAGAGAAACTGAAGGCCAAGGGGAAGGGTTCACCTGCCTCATCCCTCCTTGTGGTTTGCAGCAGGCACCTCCTACTGACTCTGAGATGCACCATCTTTTCTTATGCTCCATCCTGCCCAAGAGGAACAAGTTTTCAAACACACTGAAAAGTACTGAGAATGACAGAGCAAACACCCAAGTCCCTGCTACGAAGTTTTATATTTCTTTTAAAGACCAGATCCTAATGCTTAGCTCCATAGTTCTCAGTTGCCACTCTCAAGTCTCTACATCAAAAAATTCAGATGACTGAGAGAGCCCCTATTCAAAGAAATCTTTTTTTTTTTCTTTTATTATTCATATGTGCATACAAGGCTTGGTTTATTTCTCCCCCCTGCCCCCACCCCCTCCCTTACCACCCACTCAAAGAAATCTTATAGGGAATGATAGGCCTCTAAATTAGCTCTTGAAATTTGTGGATTTTCAGATACGGAATTTAAAGGACTCAAAGTACCTTTGAAAATTATAAAGTATTGCTTTACAATCTAAGCTAGTACCTTAAATATTAGTTTCTTTTGGGATGTTTTAGTTCTTACTAAGTTAGGCTGTTTCTACATTATTATTATTATTCAATCAAAGAAGTTTATATAGGGCTGGCAGAGTGGCTCAAGTGATAGAGTGCCTGCCTAGCATGAGGACCTGAGTTCAAAAGCCACTACTACTGAAGAAATTTACATAATCCCCCTGCACACTTCCTCCCTCCCACTCCCAGAGATGCAGAGCCTTTTTTTTTTTTTTTTTTTTGCTGTTGTTGTCTTGGTTTGGTTTTGGTGGCACTGGGTTTTGAAGGCCCTCAGTGCCTCACACTAACTAGGCATGTACTCTACCACTTGAGCCACTCCACCAGCCCTTTTTTGCTAAGGGTTTTTTTCAACATAGGGTCTTGCAAACTATTTGCCTGGGGCTGGCTTTGAACTGCAATCCTCCTGATTTCTGCCTCCTGAGTAGCTAGGATTATAGGCATGAGCCACTGGCACCTGGCACTGGTTCTGTTTTTTTAAGATAGGGTCTTATTTTGTAGCCCAAGCTGATCATGAGCCTCCTGTCTCAGCCTCCCAAATGCTGGGATTACAGGCACATACCACGACACCTGGTTAGAAGTACTTCTTCAATAGTATTTTCCTGGACTAGGGATATAACACAGTGGTAGAGCATTTACCTAGCATGCACAAGGCCCTGGGTTCGATCCCCAACACTTTATTTTTTTAAAAGGATTTTCCTTATAGCTTATGACAGTCAGTTGAACGATTCAGCAAACTTGACTGAATGCCCACTCTATACCACACTACTGAACAAGACTGTCAAACTACAGAAATGGATAATGTAGCCCCTGAGCCCTGTGTAGTGTAGGCTCAAAGAAGACAGAATACACATATCTTTTGTCTTTTTTTTTTTTTTTTTTGGCAATATTAGGGTTTCAACTCAGGACCTCATCTTGACAGGCAAGTGCTCTACCACTTGAGCTCTGCCTCCAACCCCACACATCATTGTAAGGAGATAATATGTAGGTTCTTCGTATCCTGTGGCAACTCCCTAAGGTGACTCTACCCCTGCCCCATGATCTCTCTATCTAGAGGCAGAGTGTGGAGGACTAGAAGAGGGTGGAGTCTCAAGTTAACAGCAAATGAAAGGCAATGCTGGGTGGAGGGGGCCACAGAGACACCTGGAGCAAACCAGATTGGAAGTCAGGCAAGATGTTTCTGGTGTGATAAGCAGGCCAGAGCGGGAATTTGGGACAGAAATAATTGCCAGTCAGTTTACAAGCCATAATTCATGGTTCCTTCTCGATATAGAAAACTCTCAAGCTGTTACCAGAATGTGCAATGTAAGGTCAGAAATTTTTCAACAAATGCTGCCTTGTTCTAGAGTTATGTGCATACGTACATAAAACATAAAACAAACTCTTGGAGGGCGGGCACCACTCAAGTCACCTCTTGGTCTCCACAGCATGGTCACTTGGGAAGACTGGGCCAGTCACCCCCATAAATGTCCTCACTCCTGTACTCAGGGCCAGCTTCTTAGATGTGCAGCTCAGGGAGGAAGTTTATATACATGAAGGGCTCAATGCCGCCCTGACTTACACACAGCAATAATATAATCTATCCTAGAGTTCTTTCTACTGTCATACACTCAGAGCCTGGCACCATCCTACGTGCTGGAGATGTGGCAGTTAAAAGGCAAATCCCAAGCCAGGTGTGGTGGAATATACCTGTAATCCCAGCACTTGGGAAGCCGAGGCAGGTGAATATCAATAATGAGCTACATAATGAGTTCCAGGCCATCCTGGCCTACGTCGTGAGACCCTGTCTCAAAAAAAAAAAAAGGGCAAAATCCCCATCCTCACTGAGCCTATATTTTAGTGGGGCAGATATATAACACATAAATAAAATATGACTCTATCAGATGGTGATAAATCCTTTGAAGAAAATTGAGCAAATTGAGCAGAAATGATGGGATGAGGAGTGAAGGGGAGGTTGATGGTGACTGCTGTGTTAAGTAGCGTGATTGTGTGTGTGATTGTGAAGGTGAACAGAATGGAAGGAGGGGGCCAGCCATGCTGGTATCTGAGAGAGCCTCCCTCGCAGAGGACACCAGCAAGTGCCTGAGGCATTGAGGAGGTGAGACCAGAGAGCTGCTTGTTGCCCCTTGCAGAGATTTCTTCCCTCAGTGAAACGGAGAGTCATGGGATGGTTTGAACAGCAGAGTAGAGTCTGACTCATATGTTTAAAGAATTATTCTGGATACCATGAGGGATGGGGAGGAGGAGGAGCAGGCAAACCACTCAGAATGAGACTGCACTGATCCAGGTAAGAGATGACATGACTTGGACTGTGATGGTGGTGGTGAATAGGTTGTCAGATTCTGGATTAATTGACAAGGTGGATATGGGTTGAGAGATAGAATCAAAGACAAGGGTTTTGGTCAGAGCAGTTGGAAGGATGGAATTATCGGTACCATATCAGGAAGACCTGGAGGGGCAGACTTGGAGAAGATGATAGTTTAGTTTGGATATGGTAATCGGCTACGGAGAGCTTGGCACACGAGCAACCAAAGGCGCACAAGAACACCAGAAAAGTGTAACGTTTTGGAAGCCAATTGGAAAAAAATGTTTCTCACAGGTGAAGTAGCCAATTGGAAAAAAATGTTTCTCACAGGTGAAGTGAGGGAAGAGATGGGAATTGTCTTAACAATTCAGTTTAATATAATTCAGTTAATTACAGGCTGGATACCCAGAGGGTTAGATGTAGTCCTGGCCAAGATTATATACAGGTTAGACC